AGATGTTTATCAGGGCTGTAAACACTGCGTTGCTTGGAGGTGTAATTGTGGGGCACCAAAAAAGAAAAAAAAAAAATTTTTGCTTTCTAGCTACTGCCGAGCTGCATGCCAAGCAGGTAAGAGGGAATCATTTACACTTCACAAGCAGCAGCAAACTTGGCCCAACCCCTAGGTTTCCCCAGAGAGCTTCTTGGCCGCAAAAGACAGCAGTTAGCGACTCTCGCTTGGCATGGGGAGGCAGGGAAAGGCTCTGCGCAGGAACAGGGAACTTTCCAATTTTCCATCTGGCTGAAACTATTTCATAGTCTAAACAATTGACCAAGGAGTGAAAAAGGAGTACAAAAGCCCACAATCAAAACAGCTTTTCTGAGAGAGCTCATCCTGTGACAGCAATTCATAAATTTTTTTTTTTTTTTTAAAAGTGTTTTGGTAAGACCAAATCAGAACAAACATTTGGGGAAAGGACAGTGGACAGTTTGAAAGGGGAACTTTTTTTTTTTTTTTTTAAACTTTCCTTGGTAAATGTGTTTCAGCTTCTTAGTTTATTTATTTTTAGGGTATTGGAGCAAAGTAAAAGGTACTATTGATAAAATAGCTGCTTGGGCCCACCCCTTTTTTTCCGCAGCAGAGGGAAGCTTGCTTTCTAGGTGGAAGATGCTACTACTCTATCCCTTGTGTTTGCAAACAAAGCTTGGAGGCAGATTTTTTTTTTCAGTGAAGACCACGTTCAGGAAAACACAAGACAGCGAAGGCTAGACAAGACTTCCCTCATACCCTCCAGCTACTTCAGCGTCAAAGACCTGGCTATTTGTAATGCCCGGCTAAGGGGAGGTGGTGGGAGGGGGTGGCAGAAGGAAGATGAAGGCTGCTGTGACGTGGACCACCTTCTGCTGGCAGCTCTGCTGCAGCTCCCTACTCCATCCCCCTGCAGCCCAGCCATGGAAACAAGCTGCAACTTCTGCCCTTGTCTCCTTTTGTCCGCCGCAGACCTGCGGAGCTCCCTCGGGAGTGTCGTGTGCCGAATCCGAGTGTGGCGGGTTGAACTGCCGAACAGCCGAGGGACAGAAGAAGTGTGGAGGACCTGGCTGTGACGGGCTGGTGACTGTAGCGCACAACGCCTGGCAGAAAGCCATGGATTTTGACAGAGACATCCTCAGTGCCTTAGCAGAAGTTGAGCAGCTCTCCAAAATGGTAATATGCCAAATCAGTTGTTAGATATTAAAAAAATAGATTATTTTAGCTGCAACACAAGTTTAGACACCAATTGACAAAGTATGTGCCTGGCTTACTTCAAAATGTTTCTTTTCAGTTGCGTAACTTCATTATACTTTTAAAGCTCCTCGGAAAATGAGCTTGTTAAAGTGAAGTTTCATGCATAACTCTAAACATTAGCCTGAGTTGTTTAAACTAACATTGGTGTGGTGGCTCGCGGCCAGCTTTTAAAAGTGTTCTGCAAGTCTTATGAGGAAAAAACATTTCTCATTACTACTACTTCTGACTCCGAATTTTTGTTGTAAAACAGGCCTTAAAGCATAAGCAAATATGCAGTCAAGCCCTCTGTTTTTACACTCCAGGTTTCCGAGGCGAAACAGCGAGCAGATGAAGCAAAACAAAACGCACAAGAAGTTCTGCTCAAAACCAACGCTACAAAAGAACAAGTGGACAGAAGCAATGAAGATCTGAGAAACCTCATTAAACAGATCAGAGACTTCCTAATGCGTAAAAACCTTACACTTAAATTACTTGTTTTAAGTCTACATTTATGAAAACCCTGCCGGTATTCTTGACTCCTTCTCCAAGGTGCAACACAATAGTTCCCCTTTTCAGACAGACTTAGTGTGTATGATGAAATCTTGAAACCAGAGAAAACCAAGACAATGGGAAAGCGTGGCCAAACTGCAAAGTATTATTCTGCTAATTTCAGCCGAGACTGTTGTACTTTGCTAGCTTGCCAAGTCAGTTCCTAAGCTCTGGCTAGAAAGATAAAGTACTATTAAAAGGAAGGAAAGTTAGGTAGAAGCTCCACGTTTCTCTCTCAGTAGGTAGGTAGGTAAAGGTTAAATGAGGGCCTTGCTCACTAGTGAGTTGTTGCATGGCAAGCCCAGTCCTTCCCTGTTTGTGCAAGGCTGAGGATACTGTTAGCACAAATACATTTATGTATGTGCAGCTGCTGGCTTAGTTTCCTGCAGGCTGTTGTCTCCTCCCCACAGCCCCAGCATGCTGTGGCTAATCACGAAGAGCTTCAACTGTATGCCAGGGCCTACGCTTCTGCTGGGCCTGTCCTTAGAGGGACGTTCACCCTAAAAAAACAGTTTTAACAACACCTCCATTTTCTGCAAGTCCTGGGGAGGAAGGTCTTCCATTATTTTAAGAAGCAGCCAGACAAGCACTCGAGTACTGAGACTTGAGAGCAGCCTTCACGAAGCTTTCATTCACATCTTTGTCCTTTGTGTCGTTCCGCTAGAAGACAGCGCTGACCTGGACAGCATTGAGGCAGTGGCTAATGAAGTGCTGAACATGGAGATGCCAAGCACTCCCCAGCAGCTACATGCTCTGACAGAAGATATTCGTGAGCGTGTAGAAAGTCTTTCTGATGTCGAGGTCATTCTGCAGCAGAGTGCTGGAGACATTGCCAGAGCAGAAATGCTGTTGGAAGAAGCCAAGAAAGCAAGGTATGCAACCTTAGTCTGTGTTAGCTGTGTTTTCAGTCACCAACAGCTTGAATGAGATTCAATTTCATTCTGTCAGAAAATGCTGACTTTAGTGGAGAATCTCTGTTGGGGTAAGTTAAAGGGCAAAAATGGCCTTCTAATGTACAACTAGTTCTTTTTCCAGTGCCAAAATGAATGCATTTTTAGTGTTTGCCTCTTTTTGCTTCACAGCAAAGGTGCAACAGATGTTAAAGTCACTGCAGACATGGTGAAAGCAGCACTGGAAGAAGCTGAAAAAGCTCAAAATGCAGCTGAAAAAGCCATCAAACAAGCTGATGAAGATATTAAAGGAACTCAAGACCTGCTGACCTCAGTGAGTCCTTACAGGGTATTTATTAAGCTATAAAAACAGCACAAAGTCTGAAACTTAAACTGGTGTAAACTTGTCTAGGGAAGGCTTTGAAGAACCACAGATCAAAGCCTGCACGTCAGACCATTCTTGCCTTCACATAAGCTTTTTTAAGTTAGCAAGTCAGATGCTAGGGGCTCATTTGCTCTTAGAGAAAAGGCTTTTCTCATCCCGTATCCTGCACCACTGAAGTGAAATGAGCAAGATCGTAGCCCTCTAATGTGGCAGATGTGCCAGGATCCCCAGAAAGTCATACTTATCAACCACATCGCATTAATATATTGGTGTCTTCAAGGAGCCGTGCTGTCCATGTCATCCACCACTGCACCATGATATCATTAAAAATTGCTGTAGTATTGTCAGATAATATATTTTCAGACTTCAACAGATGTTCCTAGTCCTAAGGACACCATAGTGCTATACCCATGAAATCTGGCCAGCTTGGAAGATAAGCAGCCTCACAAGCTCATTATTACATGATAGAGCCAAACGTCTGAAGTTCTGTCTGCTGATTAGGCAACCTCTGTGTAATATAATCAAGTCATTTTTAAGGCAGTTCCTTAATGCTCTTTGCAGCCCCATCTTATCTTTAAGCAGTGGGCTCTTTTATCCTGACTGCAATTAGCCATTTGTAACAAATAAAACACTGCTTTTTATCACAGGTGTACAGACCTGAACTGATTAGTTGATCAGGGCCTACCCAGAAAGCATAGTATTGTATCTACAGTCTTTTTGAAAGTTTAACTGTTGTCCATCTTCTTGGTTAGATTGAATCTGAAAATGCAGCATCCGAAGAAACACTGAACAACGCTACCTTACGCCTGTTTAAGCTAGAGAAGAGTGTTGAAGATCTTAAGCAAAAGGCTGCTACAAATTCAGAGAACGTGGACAATATAGAAGACACAATTGGTATTGCAAAGCAAAATGCTGAAGAAGTTAAAAAGGTGAGAAATTTGGGAAAGATGCTAAGGAAAAACCAACAATAGGCACAGCCCAGGTTTGGCTAGGGGTACATCAGTGAATATGTTTGATCCAGTTCATATATTAGTGAAGTAGCAGGGGCGAGGGGAGGGGGAAAAAAAAGAAAAAAAAACTTGGTGCACTTAAAAGATTTTTACTTGGTCTGCTACCAACTATATGGAGAAAGAAGTATTAGGAAGTTGTCAGGTTCTAAAATAGTAGCAGGAAATATATCTTGCTGTCACACTGCCAGTCTGTTATTGTTTCTTTCCCACAGCTTTACTATCTGCTACAGGAGAATCAGGGTTTTTTTTCCCCCTTCCATAAAGGACTTAAGGTGAATTAAGTGACAAGTAAACTCCTTAGCTCCATCTAAAGCCAGAGTCATTTTTAAGTATCAAAGAGGATGAAAAACTCTAAGACTGTATGGTATCTATCTCTCCCAGTTTCTGCTATTCATCTTCTTAATACCAAAAGAACGGTCTGTTCCTTTGACAGACTTGTCAGTTGTGTTGTTAATGAGTTTCCTTGCTCCAATCTGTTGCCTATAGTTAAGCCAGCAGTCTCAAGAGCAGTTTTCTGCCAGGAGAAACATTTTATCCATCCAATCAATTATTTGCAAACATTGTGAAGTATTTCAGGTGGCTGTCAAGTAAACAGAAGAGACTTGCAGTAGTGCTGCAGCTTGTGAACCTGCTTATTTGCTGAATTCAGTTGGGTCACCTTAGCCTTGTAGAGAAAACCACAGCTGAGAAGCCAACCTGGTGTCTTCTCCAACACAGGCAGCTGTTCTCTTGTTACTGACAGGGCAACAAGGGTATTCCTCCCTAAAGCAGAGCATTCAGCCAGAAGCAATGCCCATTGCTTTCCGTTACAAGCAGCTTTCCAGCTGTATGAGGGGCCTATGGCTTCCCATTAGTTAGCAGAATTAGCAGAACTGTACAGTTGAATCCTGTATATCCTTCACAAGCGTTGGTATTAAAGCTGCAGATCAGTCACAAATCTGCAAAAGGGCAACTCTGAGTCTTGGTCACAACTATTAAAGTCTTGAATATTAAGTAGGAAATACCACTACACTGTTTCCACTTTAGTTAAGCGTGCTAACAGTCCCTACTCTTGTCCTTATCTGGATTAATAAAGTTGGACAGTGGAAAGGTGAGCTCCCCTTGCATAGTCTTTTAAATGGCTCCATCTTGTGCTTGAACCCGGAACAACAGGTCCTCAACAACGAGCTGAACACCAAGTATAAAACTGTGGAAGATCTCATTGCCAAAAAGACAGAAGAATCAGCTGATGCTAGGAGGAAAGCTGACATGTTGCAAGATGAAGCTAAAGCACTGTTGGCTCAAGCAAACAGCAAACTCCAGCTGCTCAAAGGTAAGTCAGTTCTGAGGAGAGAAGTCATCCTCTTAGAATATGAAGCAATATCATGCTGCTAAACCAACTACTCAGCAGGCAGGGGGGAAAAAAAAGAAAAAACAGAAGTTACTTGTCAGTGAGGTTTGATCTGCCTGCCTATTCTTATGGATGCAGCATAGTCTTTCAAATCAAAGACTTCAAAAGAAAGCTAAAACCTACAGTGAGACACACAAACTTCTGGTATGGCAGCTATCCCTACTCAACAAAGAATCGCAACAAGGAAGGATTAGCCAGAACAAAACCACCATGCTTTACGACCAGGCCAACCCATTCAGCAACATTAAAAGCAGTCAACCTCTTGACAGCCTACCCAGAAGATCTCTCATCCAAATACTCCCCTAACCCCACCCCGTCCTGGAAAGCAGTTAAAAGGTAATTATGATAGGCTGTCACTTCCAGTTTACATTTGAATTGAACACTTACTTATAATTGCCAATAAAGTACATTGAAACAGGAGGGTGCAACCTGCTCTTAGGCGCCAGGGAGGAAGCTAAGTTTTCCTTCTGTTTTGGCCAGGCCAGGAACCCATTCTTCCCCTTAGCCGCTCTTGCAGTTATAGTGACTCACGCATTAGTCTTGACTGTAAGAAGCCAAAACCTTTCAGTGTTCAGTAAAAGCTACCATAGAGCATAATGGCAATTATTTTCAACATAAATGAAAAAATACTTTTGGATTCCCACTTATGGAAAATTACTGCCTTCTTGCTTTATGTCTCATTATTAAGCAAACAAAAAGGTGCCAAAAATGCAAAGGCTTTGCATTACTTTTCTAGTCGCATTCTCTTCCACATTGAAGGAAATCTGAATGGTATTTTATCCATAACAATAATTGTTTTACATTCCAGTACATTAAAACACTCCTGGATTAAACTTTTTTTTCCCGCCTTCCTTTGCTGACAGATTTGGAGAACACGTATGAAAACAACCAAAAAGTTCTGGAAGACAAAGCCAAGCAGTTGGTAGAGCTGGAAGAGACAGTCCGCTCCCTCTTACAGACAATCAGCCAGAAAGTTGCTGTTTATAGCACTTGCTTATAAGACGGGGGCAGGAAATGCTTGCTGAAATGTGTTCAAGATGGGTTTCACAAGTATTACACTAGTTCTTTTCTGACATTACCCTAAGACCTGATAAAGTGAACAGGTTTGATATTGACTTTAAGTCACAGAACCAAAGACAAGTAATGTTTTGATGCTGAAAATAAACAGTACTTTTTTTAATCACTGTATGTACCTAGTATGACTCATTAACTGCCTTGTGGTTTTCAGTAGGCAAAAAAATGGTAAATCAGTTAATCCTTTAGCTTCTGCAAGTGTTGTTTTTAACCTAGTTAGAGAATATCCTAATAAAATCTTGGCTCCAACTATGTAATTCTAAATAAGGGCTCCAATTACTGTGAAATACAGGATGATCTCTCAAAACATAGTGAAGAGTGAATAAAGACATACCGTCCTTTGGATTGCTAGCAAGCATTTCCACCTTAATAGTCTAAAGGGAATATTTACCCTCTGCATGATGTTCATTTAGGCTAAACATAAGTTTCGTTGCACTGATTATGAAACCCTTCATTTGTGAAGTGGAAACAGAAGACAGCATTGAAGATATGAGTGTGGTTTTATATTTCAAGCACTGAATTTACAGGATTAACCAAGCCTGGAGACTCAAGCCTCTCTGGAAAAGAAACTACGGTGTTTACAGCACACGGTGTTAATCAGTTAAGGAGCGATAACTGGGCTTGAAGCTACCTAAGCTCCAAGTTATTTGTGGAACAGTGCACCTTCAGACAATTGTACAGTACTGTGCAAATAGATTTACAATATTCACCAGTTACATACGCACAAATTGGCCTCCTACTCAATTGCAACATGCATTTTCATATCCTGAGGGCTAACTCAGACCTGAGGAATACAGCTGCATATACACTTTGATCAGCAGCTGTTTCTGATGTACAGGAAGCTATACTAATGTTAGCAAAAATTAGGACAACTATGGCAGAATATAGCACCACTGATGCAAACTGAGGAATAACTACTTCAAAGAAAAGTTACCCTGAACCACCACAAGTTACAAATGCTACAGCAGAAAAGCCCAACAGAAACTGATTGCCGTATCAGCCTCATACACTGGTTCACTGACAGTACAGTTAGCATCTGTTAAAAATATCATCTGCAAACTTTGCAACATCCAGGCTTAACTGCTGTCAGGCCCCCTTATAGGTGGCTCAGTAGCTCATCTTATTTCTATCCTTGCAAGCACTCCTCACACACTTCAGTGAAGCACAGAAGTGACAGAGAAGTAACAATCATCTGAGGCCTTGAATTTTACTTTGAAGTGGCTAGGAGAACATAGTTTCCAGTACAATTTTAGTAGTCACTAAATCACTTTGACTTGGTCAAAGTTTTCCAGTTTTCATTTGACAACAACAGCAAAATGAGATACGGGAATTTATAGTTGATTAACCTCAAGGAGGAGCTGTAAAAAGAATGCCAAAAAGGAAGACTGTCACAATTAATTAGGGGTACAGGCCAGCGAGGGAGAAAGCTGCGTCTCACAAGAGATCAGGTCTTCTATGAAGGACAGCTTGCAAGGCACCAGATGATCGACACTCTGTAACATTTGCCAGCAGGCAGAAGTGAGTAGCTCCATTAGGAGAATCTGATTTTCCTCCCCAAGTATTACGTCACCTTTGATTTACCTGCAGCAGCTTCCTACTAACATCTGAAAGCACGTCCGCTTACTCCATCAATTCATGGATACGCCAGGTTATCTCACAGGCCGGCGATAAGCTTAAAAGCCCTAGCTTCCTCCCATCTGCATCCATACTTAAAACAATTTAAAAAAAAAAAGAATAGTTTTACTGGTGTTTGTTTGTTAACTGAAATCTTAAGAAAATGGCCGTGTTGACATACATTTCCATCATTCAGTATGGATAATGGATCAATACATGAATGAAAAGCTCTAAAGAGAAGGAGATGGGAGGATGCAACCATCTTGTCTATACACAAAGAAAAAGAGATGGGAGGATGCAACCATCTTGTCTATACACAAAAATCAAGTAGCTGTTTCTTTAAGGCACATTTCTCATCCATCGGGGGTAATGATTAAAGGACATGAACAATACCAGCATGCGTTAAGATTTTGCTGTACAAATTAAGGCAGAGGAGCCAAACAAAGAATGACGCCCTGCAAAACAAAAATTAAAATGAGCTACTAGAATTTCACACCTTCTCTCTACAAGTAAAGAGGTATTCTGAAGATGCCATTTTCTTCCTTTTTCCCAAAATCCATACACTAACAGGAATGCTAGGGCTGGTCAACAACAGCAGAACAAACAAAAAAGAAAACCCCAAGATTCTCCAGCCACGTTAAATATTTATTAGTGGAAGGCTACAGACCTTTCACATATTAAGCTCTCTTGCTACAGAAGAGATGCAAAGAGAGCACAAAATAGACAAAGGAAAGAAGAGAGGAAAAAGTATGTCTAAGTGGTGTGGAGGGCTGACACTGCAGCCCTTACACGTGGAAAGCACAGAGGAATAACCCTCATGCCACTGGACTTAACAGCGCTGCTTCACTACCCAGTTTTAGCGTGTTGAGACTATTTTAAGACAGGTGGACAATGGAAAAAGCTTCAAAAACAAAAAAGTAGCAATAAGATTAAGTTTTCTTCAGTTGTTCATTTCTCCATCAGCACTTGATTTTTTCCTCTTAATGAGTTTTCAATATGAAAACATGATGTGTGGAGAATCACACACAAATGGAGTAATTTTCTCTTTTAAAAAAGCTAACCCACCTACATGAGCCGCTCCCGTAATCCTTACGCTACTAGATCAAAACAAATTTTCGTACTTGCACTTTAGAAGAAATAGGTTAAATATTAAGTTAATCCTTTCGCAAGGAAACACCACAATATTTTTGTGCGGAAGTGACAGTGGCATTTTAAGTGCCAGCGGCATTTTAAGTGCCAGCATCCAACTGGTTTCGTCTATCACTACTTCAAATAAGAATACACCAGATATGCTGGACACTTTTCGAGAGTTTTGACCAGCACACCTGATTATCCTATGCAGCAGCGAAACGTTTGGTTTCATAAAAAGAGAAAAGGGTTCTTTCAGGCTGTTTTTCTTCAACATTCATAAAGTAAATAAACATGTAATTTAAAGTATTTAATTTACAGAGACTGGATAATTCAACTTGTTCCAAACCCTATTTGGTTAAATATTTGCTGCTTAAAATGAAGAGATTCACTTAATTCAGTCCTAAAATCCTCAGACTCAGCCTTCTGTAAAAGCCCACGGTCCATTTTCAGACATTTACTATACACGTACAAAGAACTGCTCTTCCTTTTTAGAAGTTGATAGCTTTGCCGAAAGATGCTGCTAGGTTTGCTTCCCTGAAGGCTTCCGACACTGTCTGTAGAGAGCAAACACAAATGATAGAAGTCATTAACATTTACTCGGCATGTAATTATAGCATGTCTAAGCATCCCCAGTGTTCACTAGTTTGTTCTTTTAAGAAAGCTTACTGGATGTGCATGGCAAACTCTGGCTACATCTTCACATGATGCTCCATATTCCATAGCAAGAGCTGCTTCATTAACCATCTCGCCAGCGCCCTGAAATTTAACATTATTTTTAATTAGCTTAAATCTTCACGTAGTTGTCCATGTTCTTCTGAATAACTAGGAAGTATATGCAATACATCTTTATATGCAGTATATGCAATAAACATCTTTTGCTAAAAAGGAAAGTCATAACTGGCACTTCACCTGTGTTCGAACATCAGTTTTAAGTACTTGATCTCCTTGGTGACCGTGCTCAAGCCTAGCTTAAGTGTGAAAGACAAATCAGAAGACTTGGTCTTTCATCAGTGAAGGCTGTGGTGAAAAATGACCAATTTTTAAACAAGATACTGGTCAGGTAATTCCCACATCCTGATCAAAGCTACTGTAGATTATCATTTCTGAAAAAATCACAAAACTTTATATAGACAGTAACTGAAAAACAGAAGTGTTTTACTACATCCGCACTCTCATTTTTATGAATACGAGTTGTATCCAAATATTTACCCAGAAAATATTTCTTTGGGGAGTTGAAAATAAAACAGCGGCATCTCCAGTTATTTTCTTACCATCCATATACACAATCGCAAGACTTCCTCCCTTCCCTCTACTGATGAAAACTGCTGTGTCTCATACTGATAACCCTGAGCCGTGCTCTCTTAAGAGGATGTAGATTTTCAATTGATTGGCATTGTTAGAGAACGTAAACTAACGCAGTATCTTGCTATGTATTCCCATTAGAAAGGATTAGTTATTGGATTCGGGAACAAAAAGCCTATCCACCAAAGTACCTGGAACAGAATTTACTTCTGAGTGCTTTCAACTAGTCTCTGACATTTACTAAAGAAAATTTCTATTTAGTTGTAGAAGGGAGCACTGGTAACCATCACATACAAAGACTAAAATATCAAGAGTTCTGTATTTTTCAGGGTACATAATCACTGAATAATAATTCTGAAAGGAAAGTTACAGTGCTGATTTTCCAGCGCTGACAATTTAACTGTAGGAACAAAATTTCCTTTCCAGCAAAACAGAAAAGTCTCAGTCTTGTAATAGTGGTCTTTTGTAAAGAAAACTGTGTACAAAGATGTATGGAAGTGTTTGTGCATATATCTTTAGGAAAAAGAGAGAGAGAGAGATTAGGGTCTCAGATACAAACTCTGGACTGTGCAGACAGAGGAAAACAATCCTCTTCCCCAACATAATTTTCTGGTTTCAAACCTTTACAAGGAGTTTTTAATCCAAGTTCCATAAGCTCCTGATGTAAGATTTGGTGACTGCTACATAAGATAGCAACTTTGCTGAAGTCTAAAGTTCAGAAAAATCTAAAAAGCCACACAGTCTGTGCAGTCCACCTGCAGTTCCAGAACTTGGGCCTGCTTGTTCTTTTCAGTATTTGGCAGTATTCATAAAGAATCACCAGTCAGAGTACTGAACCACTTCAGCACTTCTGGGCAAAAAACAGCTGAGTCCAACTCCAAACCAACAGAAAAGCAGGAAGAGAGCATAGCTGCAGAACAGAACAGGACAGGAAAGTGATTTTTCCCATACTGGAGGAGACTCAAGCCTTCCTCCTTTTTACAAGCACCTCTTTCTCCTAACCTGGTAACTATTGTGCAACTGTGTAATACTAAAATCAAAAACCTGAGAAGACAAAGAGAGTAGTA